CTGTCTCTGGTGAATCCTCTCACCCGCTGCATCTCTGGCCTGTACCCCAGTTCTGTACAAATAAATAAATAAATCTTTAAAAAAAAAAAGTACAATTGCAGATGGGAAAAAATAACAAACTTGACATGATGACCTCTGCTTATGAATGAACACAAAAAAAAGCTGGAAGAACTATTATCTGGAGAGAATATTGAAATAAATGTTGAAATGAGCTCCAAAGTATTTTTGATAAATGGGAACAGAATGAGAAAGACCTAGAAGGCAAACGAATGTAGAACATAGAAAATGAGTGTTGACTACTGATACACACACACACACACACACACACACACACATACACACACAAAACAATTCTGCTAAGAGCCCGGGACTTACTTTGTTGAGTTTGTAAGAGAGTAGTAGTAGGACATTGCTGGCTTTATGTGACAATAAAGAAATGGTACTTAATTCAGAAGACAATTGTAAACCACTTGAAGGTTTTTAAGTTGGAGAGTGATCTGATTAGGGCTGCTCTATATAAAGATTCATTTAGCTGCAGAGGCTTATATTCTAGCCAGGATAAGAAAAGAGAAGCTGCCTGACAGTGATGACAGAGTGAAAGGAAAATGGCTCTGGAAATGCGGCAAAGGAAGAGTCTCCACCTGTCTGGATATGGGGCCATCACTTCACACAACCATAAACACTCCAAGGTTTTGAGTTTGAATGATCTGGGATGAACAAAAGGAACAATAAAGTCTAGAGAAGGATTTGACAACAGGTGGAAGATAGCAAGAGTTGACATTATGAGACTGAAGCACTCTGAGAGCAGGGATAGATTGTTTTGGTCCAATTTTTTATCTCCAGTGCTTGACATAAGATGAAAAACTAATAAATATTTGTCACAAAATCTGTTCTGTGCTCAATCTTATAAAATGGCCATATTCAACCTCAGAAGGAAAAGTCATTATCCCCCATTTCTGGCTATTGATTCTTTTTTCCACTCGGAATTATTTCCAGCATGTATAGAAATATAGGGGATGAGATAGTAAACATATGTATAGAGAGATAACTTCTTAGAAGAAGAGAATATAAGACTATTTTAACACTTTGTGTGTTCATGCTCTTTTTATGTTGCCTGTTTTGGTTCCCAGAAAAATGGAAGAGCTTCCTGCAAACCACATAAGAGTTTCTCTCTGTATCTACCATAAGAGGAAACCAAAGAAGATAGTTGCTATTTTGCATCATCACATCTATAAAAATCCTAAAGTTGAGGATATTACCTTTTTTTCCAGGCAGAACTCTAAGGCAGCTCTGACTTATCATATTAGGTACAGAATACATTTAGGTACAGAATACAGCCTGACATTAAGCATGTCCAGAATTGTGTGACCTTCTTCCACCATATATAACATGAACCACTGAGGTTTAATAGTACTGAAGAGGGTTTTATTGAGTTTGTAATCATTAGCAATACTACCCCTAAGGGAGCATTTCTTGGTGTCACTGCCAAATCAGAAGTTTTAGTTGCCTCAGGAGAAATAGAAGTATTCTAAAAAATTCTTGCCAAGTATTTGATAAGTATCCAAGACTCCCTGGGCCTCTAGGAGAAGATCAGAGGATTTGGGGAAAGTTCCCAGTTATTATCAAGTTTTAACTTAAAAATTCCTATAGCAATTTTATTTGCAACTACAGTGTATATGTGATAAAAAAAATTCTTAGATGTTCTTCAGAAGTTTGTATTTATATACAATAAAACAGTTTATACTTGACAGATGTTTTATATCCTTCAAGCTCTTTCAAGGCATTATCAATCCAGTTTAAAAAGATCAGAAACACAGAAGGTCAGGACCATATGTTATTCTGATTTTTCTCTCTCTTTCAGACTCCCCTATAAAATCAGGATGGGACAGGCTAGGTACAAAATTAATCTTTAAATCACAGTGACTTCATGTGACACTCTGAGAGCTGTGGCTCTCAGAACAGCTCAGTAATGACGAGGGAAAAGTCAACTTCTCTCTTCATTCCCTTCAATCTAATGATAAAGAACTTGGGCCATTGTCATGTCATGTACTTAGAATGAATTCATTAGTCTCACATGTGATAAATAAGAAACACAAGGAACCTAAAATACAGATTTTACAGAGGTTTGGTCCAGAACTGCCCATGATGGACAGGATAATTAAATGTTTATATGTATAGTTATTTCTGCCATTTTTATAACAGCAAAAATTAACTGTGACATGAAACAATGATGAGAAAATGAGGACAACGAGGGTATTCCTTGGCAAGGGCAGAAGTACTTTGATGAACATACAAGTAACGATGTGCTAACCTTCGCATCTGATGTTTGCTTGACAGTATCCATTGATTTATTGAAATATACTTTTTTCATACAAAATTCACAAACACTAAAGAAAAATAGCCATTTCCAAACCTACAGGGTAAAAGCTGATTGAGTATGACTCTAGGTGCTGAACTACCTGCAATTAAGCCTCCTCCTACTTAGCTCGTGGTTCTTGGGTCAGATAGAGATTTATAGTCTGTGAAGGCTGAGAAATGCAACCTTCATTCAAATGACTCATGGTTCACTCCAGACATATCAATCTTTCAAGAACTAAGCATGTGATCCAGAGTCTGCCTATTATTTACTGTACAATTAATACAAAAGGTATATAAAGTGGATAATTACCTTGTGCCTTCTTTTGGGATTTCTGTGCACTGTGTTGTCATCATGGTTGGTTTACTTTTCATTTCTTCAGTGTTATCCATGTCAATGGTATGGAATTAACTTTTTGAATCCACCGGTTCTCTGTTCAACATCTTAGTATCTGCCACAGCACCCTGTGTGTGACTGTTAGTCAATTAATATCTATGTGTTTTAAGTAAATGAACAGCTAGTGTCGCTTTTTCCTCTACCTAAGATCGCTGTTTCTGGGCATTTCAATGATGTACTCATTCCCTCATTTCATCACCCTCCAACTCTTGCTGCTTTGTTCATTCTCTTTTGTCCCACTGCATGTGATTAGAGGAAGCAGCCGGACATGGAGGGACCAGGCAATGTAAGTACCAGAAGGTGCAGCTGTCAACACAGTCTGTGAAATACTAACCTGGACAGTGACTGGGGGTGGAGACCAGTTGGGGAGGATTAGATCAAACCAAAATTTTCCTCTATTGATTCTTTCCCTATTATTTTATTTCTTGCAGCTTATATGCTAGTTTATTCTAATAATTTGCACATAATTATTCACTCACTATACCTAATATAGATTTTTTATTGAAGAGAGATTTATTTTAGAACTAATCTGGAAATGTTTTCCTAGCATTAAGCTGTTTACTTACATCTTTCCACCTACCGATTAGTGTTTTGGGAGCTAAAATGCAATAGGTCAGAAACACAGTTATATTATTCACCAAGCAAACTCTTAATTGGCTGACAGGTAGAGGGACAGAAAAACCCTGTAAACTCTTAACTCCAAGATCATGATCCCATTCAGTGTGTATGCTAGAAGAGTCTTACTACTGCAATACCAGTAATCAATGAGAAACATAAAAAAGCCCTCTTGGTTAAAGAATTTATAATCTAGTTAGAAAGGAAATGGTAAGTTAGGAAAAATTTAAATGCTATTGTATGAACACTGTACAGTGTTAAAAATTTTAGTTGTGATAGAGCACTACTATACACGTAGGGTTGCAAGAAAAAGGTGGGGGTGTTTCTCTTTGGCCTTTTCCAGGAAGGTAATACTAACAATGGCAACATTTCAGTAACATGGAAAAAAAAAAAGATACCTTATAATGGATGCTTTGTAACAATAGCTCCCAGTTCAGTTAGAGATAAGTGACCGTGGAATCTGAGCACCCATCATGGTGCCAAGGGAGAGCATCTCTCCCGTGAGTTCCAACAGCGAAGTCGTAGGTTGGTGTGAGTTGCCTGATTTAATGCATCTCCATTAAGGCTCCAAGAGTTATTTCCACTCTCCCAAGGGCTACGGCGGCTGCTCGCGAGTGGAAATACGCAGAACCTACTAGGCCGTAGTGGATCTGGAATGCCCATGGCAGTCTTTTTTCGTCGCTCCCGTCAGTCACACCTATCTCGGGGCGCCCTGGAGGAAGTGGAACAGCGTGTTCTCCGCATCTCCCCTCCAGGAGGCCACACCCAACACAAGGCTCCCATTGTGTCTTGGGGAACAGTAGCCCCACAGTGTCATGCTGGCTAACCCTCTTAAAACCACGCCAGCGGCTCTTGCTTTGGCAACCCCTGTCTGAGTTGAGGTGGGGAGACACGGAAGGTGGCAGAGGCCCGGCGTGGCGC